TTTAATTTTTTTAGTCATCAATGGACATTTATTTATTTGCAGTGCTGAGAATCGAACCCAGTGTCTCACACATGCTAGGCAAGTGCTCTACCACTGTACTACAACCCCATTCCTAAAAATAAATTAAAAAAAAAAAAAGATATTACTTGGGGGTTTCTCAAAGCCTTTCTTTTGCTCTTCAGATCTGCACCTTTCCTTTTATCCTCATGATGTCCCCAGGATTGAGTATGAGGAAAGGGAATAGATCAGGCCAATGTGCCATCTTGTCAGAAAATAGAAACATTTTCAATGCTTCATGTATTTAGAAATGTCTTTCCTCTTTATTTTGTTTTACAAATTACAAATGCAATATATGTTAACAAGTAATACAAAACAAAGATATACAATGAAATAAGTACTTATATTCCCCTTCTCCACCAAGGTAACCAATGCTAACAACTTGGTTGTCTATCCTTTCACAATTCCTTGTTCATGTAAACATATACATGCATATATACACATAGGGGAGGTTATTTTTTATTTATTTTTGACAGTGCTGGGGATCAAACCCAGGGTCTTGTACATGCTAGGCAAACACTCTACCACTGAGCTACATCCCCACTCAGATTTTTACTATAAAAATAGAATCTCATACATTATGCAGTTTGTCCAGTTCACTTAACAATATACCATAAACATCTCTACATATGAGAGTTCTAGCTCCCTTTCCCTATTCCTATACCCAAATTTCTTTACTTATTCACACATTTGAGATATACTTGGTTCGGTCATTTACATGGTTTTCCTTTTGTATCCCTTTTCCCCCTCCTCCTTCTCCTCCTGATTCGCCATAAGCTGCGTGCATTACCCACCCCACAACCAATGCAGTCTTCCATAATTTTTCCATGCATATAAAATCGTACATAAACATACATGGATACATGTTTATCCTTTAAAAACAACTAGAGACATTTTGTTACTCATTTACAAAAAGGGTCATATTTTATATACTCTGTATCTATCCAGCTTTTTTTTTAACTGAACATTGTGTAATTCCATTCAAGTCCACTAGCATAGTTTTAATTTGTCCACTTTATTGCTTGCATAAACATTCTATGGGATGGATATTCCTTCACCCAATTTCTCCACCAATAGGGCATTTATACTGACTCTAGTGATTTTTTTTTTTGTCATGAGGAACAATTTTAAAATAAATGTTCACTATTCTTTGTGTATTGGAGCATATGTGTGTGTGTGTGTGTGTGTGTGTGTTTGTACTGGGGAATGAACCTAGGAGTGCTTAACCACTAGCCACTCCTGGCCCTTTTAATGTTTTTATTTTGAGACAAGGTCACCTTGAACTTGAGAGCCTCCTGCCTCGGCCTCCCAAGTCACTGGGATTACAGATACCACTGCACCTGGATGGGACTTTTACTTCTAAGAAGATTCTCCAAATTGACAAAAGTATTTTAAGTTTTAGAAGATATTACAATATTGTTTTTCAAAAAAGCAATTTGAATTGCTTTTTGAAATTTAAGTTTCAAAAAAAAAAAAAAAAAAAACTATATTAAGAACAATCTTTGTTCTGAAAGCCAAAAGCAATCTTGAATAGTATTATCTCATTCCAACTTTAACCTATATTTCCTAAAAATGATTGAAGCTAAACATTTTTTAAAATATTTTTTTAGTTGTAGTTGGACACACTACCTTTATCTTATTTATTTATTTTTATGTAGTGCTGAGGATTGAACCCAGTGCCTTGCATGTGCTAGGCAAGGACTCTACTGCTGAGCCACAACCCAAGTCCCAAAGCAAACATTTTTTGATAGTTCATTAGCTACTATTCTCACAAGTGTATTTAATATTCTTGGCCATGTCAATTTGAAAAATCCTTTCTCCCTAATTACCTCTGAAAATATTTCCCCCAATTAATTACCTATTGATTTTGTTGGCCGCATCTTTACTATTTATTTAATTAAATGCAGTGCTGGAGAATTGAACCCAGCACCTCACATAAGCACTCTACCACTGAGCCACCACCCCAGCCCCTTTTTAATGGCTTTTAAGTGTCCTATGTTAGTAAAGTTAATCTTTCTGAACTGCTAGATTGTGTGGTCTCTGACTTATTTTAAGAATTTTTTTAAAATATTAAATCTAAACCCACCTGGAATTTGCTTTTGGATATTATTTGTGCTATTGATCCAACTTTTTAGTTTTCCAAATTAAAAGACAATCGTTCCATAATTCTTTTTAAAAAACTAGTTTTCCACCCCCCTGTGGTTTGAGAATATATGTTTTCTATACATGAAAACTCATATACACCAAGGTCTACTAAATTTTCTATTCTGTTCTATGGATATATTTTATTTATCTGTTCCCTTGCCAATAATTCATTAGCATGATTTCATGTTGGCTTCTGGTAACTGGTGGACTGGTGTGCCATATTCATTAGTAATTTCATTAGCATGATTTCATGTTGGCTTCTGGTAACTGGTGTGCCATATTCTTTTTTCATATGGTTGTTCTCTAGATTCTCAGGCTTTTATTTTTCATATTAAATTTAAGATCATTTTCACACATAAGTAAAAAATCATTTAAGGCAATTCTAAAAAAACATATAGTTAATAGGTGTTATATTGTTAGTAGACAGAACAGCTCTTGATTTCTGTCATCCTACATTCTTAGAAAATTACCTTAAATTAAAACAAATAAAATCTCTTTAGTTATTGGTATCCAACCATATCATCAGCAATCAGGGATAGCTTTACCTTTTCCATTGTTTATATTAAATATTTTTCTATTGCCATCACTGGAATCTCCAAGACAACATTAAACTACTGATTTTAAAAATATGACTTCAGCTTACCATATACTATGAGACTTTGTTAAAGAAATCCTTTTAAGTGGTTACTCTTGATTACAATTTAATTTATAGGATATAAGATTAAATGCCTTTTTTAGAATTTTTTTTAGTTGTAGATGGACATAATACCTTTATTTATTTATGTTTATATGGTACTGAGGATCAAACCTCACATGCAAGGCAAGTGCTCTACCACTGAGCTACAACCCAGCCCCTTAAATGCCTTTTATCATCTATTGATTAAGAGTCTTCTCTTTATTAACCTTATTGATATATTTCCCATTACTGATCTGGCTCTACATTCTTGGGATAACTCTTACAAGGTCATCATATTATATCATTCTTTAGGTATATTATAGCTGAATTCTATTTGCTGTAATTTTATTATTTCTATATTCATGAGTAAAACCAATAAGGAGTTTTCTCTTTTCCAATTATATCGACTTCATAAAATAAACTGGATTATACAATCTATGGATTGAAATATTGTAAAAACACTGGTAATGCTTTCTTTAGAAGAGTGGACAGAATTAATCATGAAGTCATTCGGGCCTGAAGCATTCTTCGATTATAAATCCTTAATCACATTACCAAATTCTTCAATGGTACTTGTTATATCAAGTTTTCTATTCCTCCTTCCTTCCTCCCTCCCTCCCTCCCTCCCTTCCTCCCTCCCTTCCTTCCTCCCTCCCTCCCTCCCTTCCTTCCTTCCTTTCGCACCAGGGATTGAACCAGGGGTGCTTAATCACTGACCCAAATCCCTAGCCCATTTTATTTATTTAGAGACAGGGCCTCATTAAGTTGCTGAGGCTGGCTTTGAACTCTCGATCCTCTTGCCTCAGCCTCCCAATTGCTGGGATTACAGGTGTGTACCCATGCCCAGCTACAAGTTTCTATTTCATATTGCAATTTATATAACATATAGTTTGCTAGAGAGGATCCATTTCCTTTATTTTAAAAACATTTTTATTTAGAGTTATACAAGAATCTTTTTATTACTCTTTTAATCATGTCTATATCTGTGATTATATCTCTTTTCATTCAGATCAGGTAATCATACAGGGAGGCAAATCTTGAAAAGTATGGATTTCAAGTCCATTTCTTTTCTTATAAGGACAACATGGCAGCTCAAAGAAGCAGATGTTTTTAAAACACTGGAATGATGGAAAACTTGGAGTACAGTGTCCAGGACAATCACAAGGAAAGGTATGGGGGGAAAAAGTGGATGCTGCATCAACTTGCAATAAAAAAAAGAAATTCCACTTAATTGATTTCTGTGTAAAATATTTCTGAATTCTAAGACCTGTACAAAAGGTGTCTCTTATGCTAGGTGTGGTGGCACATGCCTGCAATCCAAGCAACTCTGGAGGCTTAAGCAGGAGGTCAAACTCAGCAATTTAGCAAGACCCTGTCTCAAAAAAAAAAAAAAAAAAAAAGTAACCCTTCTAAGTTGCTGAAAGATATTTTTAGTTAGTACCAAGAAAATAAAGTGTCAATTATAACAGGGCAACACTTGTTTTGGTCAAATATTGTACCCAGTAATGAACTTTACAAGTGTTTTGTTTATACAATGTCAGGATGGTAAACTATTCCTTAGCTTTCATTTTCAACATAAACAACCACACTTTCAGTATAGTTTGTAATTGGCATCAAAATACATTAAAAACATTGCTTTATTATTCAGAAAAGGGGTCAATAACAACTGCTTTGCCATTTATGTTTATTACAAACAAGGCAGAGAAAATGCAGCTGGTGTAATATATTAAGAGTTCTCAAAATAGTTGGGCTGGTAGTGTTATTATTTTTTAAATTGTTAACACAATAAAAGATACTGGTGATATTTAAAATGGAAAATTTTGGTAAAATGCACTCTAATAGACTGTGACATAGGGTTTGACAGTCATGATTTATATTAAATTCACATTTACAATGCTAAAATACAAATAGTTTTTATTATGCAGCTCGCTGAGGAATGTACCATATATACTTCTAAGTCTCTTTGCATACATTTTGTGTTCTGCTTGCATTCTATCTAATAAATCTTTAAACTTTTCTCTGCCAGAGTAACCATGTGTATATATCATAAAGTATTTTCTCTAACCTTTTCTATATGTTCATATCAAATTGGAGCATGGTTTCCCTTGTAATAAAACTCTTTTTGTCCAAATTCATTAAATTGGTAAATTTCTCCTACAGTTGAATTCCTCCAAACCCAATGAAACTCTGTGTCTTGCTCAAGGCTTTTCCACAATTATTAAATTTTCATTCCTATAGGCATTCTTCCTAGCATGAATTTTCTGATGTCTACTGAGGTTTGGCTTCTGATAGAAAGCTTTGCCACATTCATTACAACCATAGGGTTTTTCTCCTGTGTGAGTCCTCCAGTGTTTATTGAGGCATGACTTCTGGCTGAAACATTTTCCACATTCTCTGCAACGATAGGGTCTTTCCCCTGTGTGCATTTTTCGATGTACATTGAGATATGATTTCTCACCAAATGACTTGCCACATTCACTGCACACAAAGGGTCTCTCTCCTGTATGTGTTCTCTGATGTTCTGTGCGATGTGACTTCTGGGTAAAGGCTTTACCACAAAAAAAGCATTCAAAGGGTCTTACCCCAGTATGAATTCTCTGATGCTTAATAAGTGTTGACTTATGTGAAAAGGCTTTCCCACAGTCAGTGCATCCATAAGGCTTCTCCCCCGTGTGACTTCTCTGATGCCTAATGAATTCAGACTTGTAGCAGAAGGCTTTCCCACACTCACTGCAGACATGGGGTTTCTCTGTAGGTGGAACCCTCTTTGGTCTGTACACAAGAGAATTGGTTGTTGCTGGTTTATACATAACTGCTGGATTACAGCTGAGAGCTTTCTCACACAGACGGCAACCCCAGGGCTTTTCTCCATTAGATCTTCTATCATGGTCTGTACGCTGTACCAATTTCTCATATCCATAACATCCATCTTGCTTTTTTGTAGAGTTTTTCTTACAACAAATCAAGTCTAAATTATGGTTCAAGCTCTTTCTACAAGAATCCCAGTTATTAGGGTTTTGAATTGAAGAAAAAAGATCAGTGCTCAAAAGTGGTATTTTCTCAAACTTATTACATTCATGGGGTTTTCCCGTGGGCAGTGTTTTCTTGCTGATGAATGCACCTTGCCCCAGAAGCACATCTTGCTGTCTATTCCTCTGGATATTAACTGACAAGAAGTCTTCTGTAGAAAGTACAAGTGAATCATCCCTTATAAATGTCTGTACTTATGATCTGGAATAAAACTTTAGAAATGCCCTCAAAATTTAAAGGATTCACAGAACTTGAAGAGACAGAATGAATGATATCTGAAGAGCACAATACAAGGGAGAAGAGTTCTAGGAGTGGTGAATATTGGGAACACTAGCACAAATAGAGGGGAGTACATGCAGAGAAATAATTCCAAAGAAGATGGGATGATGCACAGCAGGGGTTGGCAATGAGGGCTTTTGTTTTGTTTTGCTTGTTTGTTTTCTGCTGAACTGGGGATTAAACCTGTTACACTCTACCACTGAGCTATATCCTCATCCCTTTTTGTCTTTTACTTTGTTGAGACAATGTCTCCATAAGTTGCCCAGGCTGGCCTTGACCTTGTAATCCTCCTGCCTCAGCCTCCTGGGTAGCTGGGTTATAAATATATTGGTGGCAATCATGTTCTTTAAGAGCCAGACAGTGAACATTTTAGGCTTTGTGGACCATAGGGTCTTTATCACAATTAGTCAATTCTCCCATTGTAGCAGAAAAATATGAACCATATGTAAACATATGACTCTGGCTGTGTTTCAATAAAACTTTATTCACAAAAATAGATGGCTGATCTGTAGGCCATGGTTTTCTGAACCCTGCTATAGAAATACAGTTAAATGTTGTACAGAACCTTGCTATTCAACACAAGGGTCTTTAAGGGGGCACCTTTGGCCTTATTTGGGAGCTTGCTAGATATGCCTATCTCAGACCTTACTCCAAATCTGCTGAATCAGAATTTATTATTATTTTTTAAATTTTTTTTAGTTGTAGATGGACATGATACCTTTATTTATTTTTATGTGATACTGAGGATCAAACCCAGGGCTTCACATATGCAAGGTGAGCACTCTACCACTGAGCCCTAGAATTTATTTTAGCAAAATGCCTAAACGACTAACATGTCAGAGTCTGACAAGCATGGATACAGAAGTTATCAGAGTTTATCCTGACAGGCTAGCTAACTATAAATAGCAAAGTGCACTAAGGATACTGTATTTTAGTAATCTGTTTCTTTCCTAATCTTATTAATTTTTATTTTTATGTGTAAAAAAATGGATATTCAACACTGCTTAAGAAGTCCATGGCACAAAAGCAATTAAGAACCCCTGACTTAAAGGCACGCAGGCATGAGATAAACTGGACATGATTTTAGGAGATGTCAGTGAAAAATGGGGAGAAAGCCATTTCTATAGAAAGAAAAAAAACAGCATATGTGGGAAGAACAATCAGAATGGTAGAAGAGGGAGACTCTAAATGGGCACACACAGGCATGGTCTGGGATGAAATACAAGGTGAAGCTGAGTGCTGCGGTGCATGCCTATAATCCCAGCTCCTTGGAAGACCGAGGCAGGATTTCAAGTTTGAGGTCAGTCTAGGCTATCTGGCAAGATTCTATCTTTATAAAAATTTTTGGTAAAGCACCCCTGGATTCAATCTCTAGTATATATATTAAAACACACACACATACACAAAAGGAGGAGGAGGAGGAGGAGGGGGAGGGGGAGGGGGAGGAGGGAGGAAAGCAAGCAAGGCGTGAGGAACAGCTAGGACAAATAATGATGACCTTAGTTTTTTATATACAAAGAACAGGGTAAGTGGGCACTCCTGTGGAAATGATCTACAGACTGGTAAAATGGGAGCTGGATGAGGGTACAAAAGGCAAAGGAACCAGTTACGTCGTGTGGTCTCAGAATGTATGAGTTCTTTAAAGTGACATGACTAGGAAGAGAATCAACTTATGAAAACCAGGAAAGGCAGCCCCTTGGAAGGAGAAGGCTGGATGTAGAGAATACAGAGCACTTAGAAAGCAAAGCTGATAAGGTATATTTTTTGTGGGATTTGCAGTTATAAAATTCTCAAAAGAGGGAGAAGAATAGTTGGTAGCCAGGTCATCTTGGTTTCAGGAAGATGGATGGGCAGTTCAATGAAGCAGAAATACACCCCAGAGGACACCAAGTGTAGAGGTCAAGAGCAGTGGTTCTAGAACCTGATGACCTGGATTCCAATTCTTGTTCTGTCCCTTACTTGTATGTTCTCTTATCATTCCTGATTTGTAAATGGGGTAATAAAGTAACCTGGGTTCACAGGTGTTGTAAGGGTTCAATCAGTCGATCCATGTGAAGTGCTCAGAGCAGACCACAGCACATGGAGAACACCGGCTGCCACCCAATAATTCTAATGCTGTGCTGCTACTGCAACCCTGCAACCTGATGGGAGTAGTTAGAAAATGTTTTGAAGAGAAATACTAAAATTATTAGTTTTTTAGTTTATATAATATTTAATTCAATTGTGTAGTTAACGACAGCAAAATATAAGTGGTATAAAGAGATCTAGGAACAGAACAGAGGTCCCATTCAGGGCCTATTCAGGAATTGTCTCTTGCAAAACCCATACTTGTTTGTTTTTTTATTTTTTTTTCTTCTTTTCTTTTTTTTGGTACTGGGGATGGAACCCAGCAGCTTTGCTGCTGCATTACATCCCGAGTCCTTTTTATTTATTTATTTCTTAGGGCCTCACTAAGTTGCTAAGGCTGGCCTCGTTCTTGCTATCCTCTTGCCTCAGCCTCCCAAGTTGCTGGGAATACAGGCTGTGTACCCCTGTGCTTGGCTAACCTCCCCTACTCTTGTGGAGAAGCAGTACTTCAGAGGCATCCCTAAAAGTGGGTCACCAAGGGGCTGGGTCTGTAGCTCAGCAGCAGAGTGCTTGCCTAGCATGCGTAAGGCACTGGGTTCGATCCTCAGCACCATGCAAAAAATAAACATATAAAATAAAGGCATTGTGTTTATTTACAACTACAAACAATTAAAAAAAAGTGGGTCACCAGGGCTGGGATTATGGCTTAGTAGTAAAGTGCTTGCCTAGCACATGTGAGGCACTGGGTTCAATCCACATAAAAAAACTAAATAAACAAAGTTACTGTTTCCATCTACAACTAAAAAAAAAAAAGAAAGAAAGAAAAAGAAAAAAGTGGGTCACCAACCCTCAATGTACCATGGGTATTGTTGGAATATTTTACATTTAGAAAATTCTGAGGGTTAATTGTAAGTAGTTAAAATGGGCCCAGTTTGCTGGGTGTGTTAGTGTATTCCTATAATCCCAGTGACTCAGGAGGCTGAAGCAGGAGGATCAAAAGTTCAAGACCTGCCTTAGCTTTAGCAAGGCCCTAAGGACTTAGCAAGACCCTGTCTCAAAAATAAAACAAACAAAAAAGGGGTTAGAGATGTGGTTGAGTGGTTAAGTGCCCCTGGGTTCAATAACCAGTACCAAAAAAAAAAAAAGGACAGGGCCCAGCTCATCCCATGTGGAGTTCCCTGCTTCCTCCTCTGCAATCCCATACTCTTCCATCTATAGGAGTACTTCAATTTGAGTTCAAGAAGTAAGGAAATGAGGGGTAATAGACTGTGGATACAGCAGGCAGATCTCCAAGGCATTTCATTGAGAAAGTGTTAGAACAGAGAGCAGGAATGCAAGAATCATAGAATTATTTGTGAGAACACCAGAATGTTTATGACACATGAGGGGTACATGACCTCAACAGATAGACCAAGGATTCTGGATGAAGGGAGACGGACCAAGCACATAAGGGCAGAGCTGAGATTTAAAGTGGAGGCAGGAGGAACACACCCAGATATAGTGTGGGGACACATGGAGGTCAAAATGTCATCAAGAAGGTTGAGGTGTTCAGAAAAATGTCAGGCAATACCCTAAACAAAACTTTAAAGGTGCCGGCTTCCCATGGTACCCCTTCTGCTAGAGTTATCACACTTACCCTGACAATGGCAGCCCGGGCACACTGCCTCACAAATCCATGGTGCTTCTTCCTGCTCCAGCCTGAGGATCACATCTGGTTTGGTGCCTTCATAACCTGTTCCAGGAAGATAACCCAGGCTTTGGGCTGAGCTCCTTGGTCTTCAGAGTCTCTCAAGCAGCTTTGAATGCTGCACAACAAATGCTCTTGGGAGGTAACTGTATACTCATCCAGAACCAATGGAATTAGTAATCTAGGATGATTGAAACTCAGGCCAAACCCACTGAGGCAACACAGCACAAGGGTTAGAAATGCCTTCTGTAGCCAAGCTGCTGGGATCAAATTCTGGCTCCACTGTGTTCCTGGGGGGTGACTCTGGGCAAATCAGTGCACTTCTCTGTGCCTCGGTTTCCATTTGTGCAAAATAATGGTACTTAAAAGTACCTACACCTCATAAAGTTTTTTTAAAAGGTTTATTTCCAATCTTTTCTTGTTCTCTGACTTTAGGCTACAGTGTGATGGGTACAACTAACATTTTTTAAAAATCCAACATTCTGGCTTTCAATGCCACTTCACTATGTAGATAAAGAAATACTGTGGAAAAGTTAAAATATAATGTTTAAGAAGCTGACTAAATCTATATGCTTTTAAAATGCTAGTATTTGGGTATTTTCTGTAGGAATAGTTCGACTGAAGTTATTTTCAGAACTGTCCTCTGGTATTGACTACTAGAAGGTCAAGAAGCACTTCTACTGTAGTTACAAAATGGTATCCTGCCAGGTCTGGTGGCACATGCCTATAATCCCAGCAACTCAGGAGGCTGAGGCAGGAGGTCAGCCTTGGTAACTGAGCAAGTCATGTATACTCTGAATTGTATAATGAAGCTGTTCTTACCCACTGAGACCAGGTTACTATAGGTCTCCAGCATTACGTCCCGATATAGGGCCCTCTGAGCAGGATTCAGCCGGCGCCACTCCTCTTGGGTAAAGCCCACAACCACATCTTTGAATGACACAGGTCTCTGCTGAAGCTGAAATGACAGTAAATTATGTGGAAAACTGTTGGTGGAGGTGGATGGTGTTGACTTATACTTCTCATAGGTCACAGCTTATCAAGGCCATCTACCTAGGATGTCCTTTACATTCCTACCTTTGTGCTATATTTGGTGGCAAAGATAAAAATCATGTTGGAAGCCACCCGCCCATTGTCATTCATACTTTGAGTCAACAACCCACCATGTGTGGCCTAGTGCTGGCTGGTGGGAACACAGTGATGGATGATTCCTGACCTCATGGGGCTACTGTCTGGCATAGGGAGAACAATTTGTAGAATCATCAGCATGGAAGTGTCATGACAGCTGTAATGGCAGGACACCTATGCGATAGCATGCAGAGAAGGAACTTTTCCGGGTCTGGTTAAGCTTCAGAGCTCAGGGCTGTGTGGACTTGAGTCTTCTCTACAGGAAGATGAAGAGCACCCCTTGCAGGGAGCTGTGTGAACAAAGGCACGGAGGCAAAACAGTGATTTTAAAGGTGGCAAGTTACTCAGAGATATGGGCAAAGTAGGACTTTGAGTGATGAGATGATGGATAAATGTGTGCACAAAGCACATCTGGGAGGACATGGGTGAGTGACATGGTGTGATATAACTCTAAGCAGACTGGAAAGTTAAGGTGCATATTGTATTCCTAGAGTAACCACTAGAATCATAATGCAAACAGGTACAGCTGAAATAAAGTGGAGTTCTAAAAGATGTTTAATGAGTCCATACAAACACACACAAAAAAAAAATAAAAAGAAAAGAAAAAAGAGAGAGAGGAAGAAGAATTAGAAGAAGAGGAGGAAGAGGGGAAATAGAAATAGAAGATGTACAACCCTATAATCCCAGTGACTCAGGAGGCTGAGGCAGGATAATCGCAAATTCGAAGCCAGCATCAGCAATTTAGCCAGACCATGTCTCAAAAAATAAAATGGGGGTGGGGTGGGGTTGTAGCTCAGTGGTAGAGCACTTGCCTAGCATGCATGAGGCACTGAGTTCGAGCCCCAGCACCACATAAAAATAAAACAAATGAAATAAAGGTATTAAAAAAAGAGTATTTAAAAAAAACTAAAATGAACTGGGAATGTGGTTCAGTGGCTAAGCACCCCTAGGTTCAATCCCAAGTATCACAAAAAAAAAAAAAAAGTAGGTAGGAAGATTATGTTCTGGGGTACTACTGCATAGCAGGGTAACTATAGTTAACAAAAATGTACTGTATAGTCAAAACAGCTAGAAGAGGGTTTTTGAACACTTTCACCACCAAAAAATGAAAAACATATGAGGCAATGTGTACTTTGCTGTTCCTGAGTCAACTTTGTTTTAAGAGAGTTGGTCTCTTGTTGCTCATTTTAGGTGAACATCTAACATTATGTATGTGGATTACAAATGACAGGGATTTAGAACTTCCTATGACTCTGACAACAATAGCAACACTGTCATATCATTGGGGAGCAAAGGACTCCAGAGTTTTTGCATGGGAAACACTAATGAACCTCTACATTAATCTTATTTCTGCATTTATTATTGTTAAGAACTCTACCATATTACTGCTTCTCATACCTTGGGTGCAAGGATCACCCAGAGCCATTTAAAAACAGAATCCCAGGACCACCCATAGAAAACCCTCTCCAGGAAGTCTGGGGTGAGGCCTGCCATTCTGTATTTCTAACAGCCTTCCAAGGAGATACACCTGGCCACTCTGTAAGCAGCAGCATTGTTCTGCCTCAGCCTCTCAGGAAAATGTCTTCATAAAGAAGCACCTTGAAAAGCTAGCTTTCCCCTAGAGATATACATGTGCTTCTTCTTCAGGAGCAATGCAAACCAAGGACTAATTTGTCTTTGCCTTTTTGTGGAACTCCAAGGAAAATCACAGTTACTGACCTCTTCTTGGATTCTTTACTTTGTACATCTGTATTCCAAACAAGAAATGTTCCTTGCATTGGTGCTCATAATATCAAACTTGAAAACTACCTGAATGTCCATTAAACCAGAGACTAGCTAAGTCAGTCATACCCCATGTATTCTCTATGAAGTATTATATACCTGGTTAAAAAAAAAAGTTGTTTTAAGTACTAATACTATGGGTATAGCAGTATGTTTAAGTGTCTTTTCATCATGTTTACGTGTAGAAAGGGGGCTGTGGTATTTCACCCAAATCCTCCTGAAAGACTGGATGCTGCAGGCTCGAAACTTTTCTGAGATTTATCTTTGGCCAGTGGGAACTTCCTACCACAGTTCAGGTATATATCCCAGCTCTACAGTTTCTTTTTGTTTGTTTGGTAGTACTGGGGATTGAACCCAGGACCTTGAGCATGTCAAGCAAGTGTTCTACTACTGAACTACATCCCCAGACCTTTCTTTTTATTTTATTTTATTTTTTAATTTTTAGACAGGGTCTTGCTGGCCTCAAACTCCCACCTCTACTGGTACGACAGGTGTACTACCATGCCCAGCTACCACCATGTTGTAAGATCAGCTCAGGCCTCTGTTTAGAACTCCCTCTGCCTGATCCTGCTTTCTTCACTGCCTCAGGGGAATTCCAAGATCCCCCTCAATAAACCCTCTGTGTTAAAATATCCATCTCCAAATCTGTTTTCCTGAGAATCAGCCCATGACAAAGTGTCTATGCTTATAATGGGTACATTGTTTTCTAGAACACTTTCCCCAAGAAGGGAAATTTGGCCACTTATTATCACACTCACCTGGTACTCAATCATTTTCTGCTGTTCTTGGAAAAAGAGTGGAAACCTGTGAAGGTAGAGACGGGGAGGAAGAGGATGGAGGAAGAATAGAAAACAGCTGTGAGGATCAGATCTGACTTGGAACTTGCAAATTCCCTATGTAAATCTTCTGTGTTTTAAATCACTGTGGTAAAAAAATAAAATGGCTGCCATTCAAGTCAGAATGTGAACGCATAAAAACAGAACTTTTAAGGAGGAAAAGCTTCTACTAAAAAATAAGTAGAAGTTTAAAAAAAATACCCTTAAAAATTAAATAATTAGATCTAAATGTATTCTGAACAAGGGATAACTTATAAAAATATTACAAAGAACTCTGCCATGCGACCAGCGCAAGCTTCATAAAAGAAGGTTCGATGCATAAGAAATTGCTAGTGAGTTTTAAATTAAAGAGTCAGACTCTCATTACCTTTAACACAGCTCCAAGACTGCTTCTCCTAGCTCCCGCCTCCAGCCACCTAAAGTGGTGGCGAGGTTTAAAGAAGAGACTAGCAAGAGAGGGAGCGCATGCCAGGGAGTGAGCTTTTATTGGGGAACAAAAAATTCAAGGGAAAATCCCATCCAATGAAGGTTAAGGGGGGCAGCATCCAAGGTCAGGGCCGGCCATTGGGTCTTCAGGTCAGTGGCCAGGCACACCTCTGCACGGACAAGTCCTCGGACCTGGGAAAGGTGTGGGATGGCTTTAACACAGCTGTGTCTAAGCGCCTGTCACCCAGCCAGGGAGGTAATTCAAATCACGTGCGAGGATGGCCTCCCACAAAGAACCCAAAGAAAAACAAACTCACTGTAAAACAGTAAAATATACTCAAAATATGGCCCTAAATAATTAATGGAAGCTATACCTTGTTATCCATTTAGTAGATTATTCAATGTGGTCGTAAAAATAATTTTAAGGGGCTGGGGTTGTGGCTCAGTGTTAGAGCGCTTGCCTAGTATGAGTGAGGCACTGGGTTTAATCCTCAGCACCACATAAAAATAAAAAATAAAGGTTATTTTGTCCACCAACAACTAAAAATCAAAAATTTTTTTTCTTTATTTTCAGTGCTGGGGATTGAACCCAGGGCTCTGTGCATGCAAGGCAAGCATTCTACCAACTAAGCTGTATCCCCAGCCCCAAAAAACAAATATTTTAAAAATATAATTTAAAAAAATAATTTTCAGGGACTGGGTTTGTGGCTCAGTGGTAGAGCGCTCGCCTTGCATGTGTAAGGCCCTGGATTCGATCCTCAGCACCACATAAAAATAAATAAATAAAATAAACATATTATGTCCAACTAAAAAAAATATTAAAAAATAATAGGGGCTAGGGTTGTGGCTCAGTGGTAGAGCACTCACCTAGCATGCACAAGGCACTGGTTTCAATCCTCAGCACCAAATAAATGTAAAATAAAGATATTGTGTCCACCTAAAACTAAAAATAAATATTTAAAATAATAATAATAATAATTTTCAAAGCCAGGTGCAGTGGCATAGTCCCAGCTATTCAGGGGGCTGACACAGGAGGATCACTTGAGTCCAGGAATACAAGTCCAGCCTGGGCAATATAGTAAGACCCTCAACTGGAAAACAAAAATAAAAACAAAAAACAATTTTAAACATAAAACAATTATGTTGTTTTTAATCCAGATGTTTAAGAAATACTATGACTTGACAAATTTTAAAAGAAAATGGCAAATTATAGTTTGAGAGTATAAACAAATATTTTCTGATGAACCTGAATGTTTAATTTTAGAACTGTGCTAAAACCACCAATATAATAAGGTCTAAGTTTTCAAATTAGGTTTTTGTGGCCATTCTCACTGAAGTGATCTAGAAAAGCCTAATATTCCCAGCTAGTATCCAAATTATGAACTCTACTACTAATTTTCAACAAATAGAAATGGAGCTCCTTGGAAAATGGCTGATTACACATCTGGAACAAAGATACAAGATATACCTCCACAATTTTGAGCATGAAAAAGCAAGGATACTACTTCAGTGGGTGGGTCATGGCAAGGGACACAGGAGCTAGCCATAAGAGACTCCAGCCATACAAGAATGAGTGTTAAGACTGGTCATATCTACTGAAGCTAAACATATGAATATCTTATGGTCTGGTGCTTTCATATGAATGCACATGTCACAGAATTTTAGCCTGTAAAAACTATGAATTTGTAGTGATATTTAAAAATCACAATATTAAATCCAATATTTTTTTTTTTTTTTAAAAAAAGAGCTCTGGGATTGATCACTACACAAAAGGAAGGTGGGGAGGGATGGAAGAAAGAAGAGACACTAAAGTGTCAATTAAAGGCAGCATGTGATCCTGATTGGATCCTGGAACAAAAAAAGAAAAGTAGCTATAAAACGACATTATTAGCTGACATGTGAATATAGACTGTCTTACACAACAGCCTTAAATCAATGTTAACTGCTTGGTTCTGAAAACTGCTGGCTATGTGAATATTCTCATTCTTAGGAAATACACACTAAGGTATTTATGGGTAAAGGAGCATCATGTCTACAACTTAACTAAAATAGTCGAGGTAAAAAAGGATAAGAATTATCCTATAATTCTTATCCTTTTTTACCTCGACTATTTTAGTTAAGTTATACACACACACACACACACACACACACACACACATATCAAAAAACAGTCACATGGGCTGGGGTTGTGGCTCAGTGGTAGAGTGCTTGCCTCATACACGTGAGGCACTGAGTTCGATCCTCAGCACTGCATAAAAATAAAATAAATGTATTGTGTTCACCTACAACTAAAACAGTATTAAAAAAAACACAGTCACATATCACAGAGAGCATATCACACACATATCTCTCACATACACACACACACACACACACACGCATACACATAGCTTTATCTAGATGAATCTATATGAAAGATACATATGAGCCCTATACATAAAAGATACAAAAGTAATATTCTTTAAAGTTTTCCAAATAAAAATAATTTCCAAATAAAAATAATTTTTTAAAAAAATTACAGACAGTAGGTCCACAGATCCCGCTACTACCATCATTCTGAGGTTTCAGGGATTTTTCTGCCACTGGTTCAAGACAGAATTAATTCCCCATACTCCTTGAGGCCAAGTGAAGTGGCACAAATGACAAGTGGCCACATACCATCCCCTACGATGATAGAATGAAAAGCTAGACAGATGTGCCTCTGAAAGAACATGCCTATCACATCTACAATGTGACCATGGCCTTCCCTGACTCTCCCTCACTCTTAGTCTCCCTGGATCTTGGGGTCAACTCTTCTCCCATCATTTAGCCACAGAGGTTCCATGGAAGAAGGAAAAGAATAACATCCTTACGTTGGTTCTTGCTTCTAGCTCAGGAATGATGCTGTTTTCTTATACCTGGCAGGCAGACTTTGCTCTGGCAAGAAGTCTGGGATTGCTGTGTGTGATGGCACATGTCTGTAATTCCAGTGGCTTGGGAGGATAAGGCAAGTTCAAAGCCAGTTTTTGCTAAGCAACTCAGGAAGACCCTGTCTCTAAATAAAATATGAAAATGGACTGGGAATGTGGCTCAGTGGTTAAGTGCGCATGGGTTAAATCCCAAGTACAAAAAATAAAGAAAGAAAGAAGTCAGCCAATCCCAGTTGCTTGGGAGGCTGAGACAGGAGTATTGCAAGTTCAAAGCCAACCTCAGCAAGGTGAGGCACTAAGCAACTCAGTGAGATCCTGTCTCTAAATAAAATACAAAATAGGGTTTGGGATGTGGCTCAGTGGTTCAATGCCCCTGAGTTCAATCCCTGGTACCCCCCCCACACACACTATAAACAATGTCTTGGACCTTGTTGACCCCTTCATATGAGGATTTTTGTTCCAAATTTCCTGTTCCTAGACCAGATGGGATCTTTTACTTGGCCTGCCAACCCCTGACAGTTTCATCTCACAACATTCACTCACCCTTAGCTGCAGACACTGGCGGGGTCTTCTGCAGGGGTGGACGAATTTCTGTGGCCCCGAAGGCTGTCAGGAGCTGGATAGCCCTACTGTCCAGCAAGATGGCAGGATCCAAACATCTGCAGGACACCTGGGAACCTGAAAATAAGCAGATCCCTTGGTGAGTATCAGCCTGTTGAGAGCCACAGCCGAAGGGGCCCCAGCAAACTTCCAGCTGCCAGCAATCCAGCTGCCGGCTGATGATTGGCTCACAGCGGCCCCAGCAACATCTAGCTGATTGGCTCCTCGGCCCCAGCAACATCTAGCTGATTGGCTCCTCTGCGGTGATGCTCATTGGACTGTTTCCCTGCCCTTTCAGACCACGGAGCTGCTCATTGGGGGACTTTTTTTGGCTCTGCCCACGTGACCCAGCCAATCGGCCTCAAGAGCAGGAGGATTGTGGGAGGTGGGGAGAAGCTTGTGGGGGGAGAGAGAGGCTTGTAAAAAGCCGGTGGTGGCAGTTGAGGCTCTGAGGATTTTTCCTGAGGAGCTGTTTTGTTTGGTGTGTGGTTCTAAAAATAAAGTTAGTTTCTTTTGACAAGTGGCTCCTGATTGTGCCCAGCCAGACTGCGGCATCAGCCAAGTCTCCCTCCCCAAATATTTCCTGGGCCTCAAGGGGAAAGCCTGCAGAGACCTGTGGAGAACACAGCTGAGTGATAGTTCTGCTCTGGATTTGAGTATTTCCAGAAAGACCTGAGCCTGGGAGTGACAGACACAAATTTGAAGCCAAGAATTTCTCTGATTGCTGGAATCTAGGTCAGACACTTTGCCTCCCTAGGCCTATTTCCTTATGTGTAGAAACAGAAACAGGCTGTCAGGTGCTAGACAGCCTGGGTTCAAATGCAATCTCTAACATTTATTGGTGTGTGACACTGCATGAGCTACTTAGTCACTCTGTGTCTCAGTTTCCCCATTACTTATTTCTTATTTTTCCCTTCTTTGACTTACAATGAGAAAAAAAGACATTTTTCTCATATATTGTCCACTTGCCTCTCATAAACAATCTATTATGTTCTTTTTTGC